ATCTTTTATTAAATTATTCCGAAGCTTTTAACGTGGTCTCACATCACTCTAGAAGGGAGACTAGTCAGTGTATTTTACGCGTCATCTTGCGCCGGCCGTTTGACATTTAAAGGAGGCAAATATGAACATTGCGAACTTAGCGACATGTCCTTGCAAGCAAACGCGCACGGAAAATCGTGGTAGGGCGTAAACCGACAAACGAAACACGCTAATGAAAAATCCCATTGCTAAGCGGTGCGTAAAGGGATCCAACTGGCTAAGCTTGATGCACGATCTCTGGGTGTCAGGATTCGAAAAAAATGATAGGCCAGAAAAGTTGCAACTCCCATTAGGCTCCTTGCCTTGTCTACCTCAACGGTAGGAAGGTTGATGACTACTTGTGAATATTTTATGGTATTTTGGATGACGAAACAACGAAATACTATGTTCAACGGCTAGAAAACGAGGGAAGAACTGAGTGATCCTTCACCATGCAATGTTAAAATAGGTGAGTTACCGATGTTAAGCTTGACTTCACGCCATATAGGAGTTTGCGCGAAGTGGGGTAATCCCCAACGGATGGATTTGAGCGAGTCCTAGTTCGTTTTTCTAAGGCGTCTGTGGATGTCATCTGCGGCCTGCGAGCGGTGTCTGTACATTATAGGGCAGCTGCCTCGGACGGCAGATTCGTACTCCCCACGCATTGACTGATAACCTTTAGAACAAACAGCACCTTACAGATCGTCACCTTGCTTCTTCACCCCATTTACTGGTGTGGACAAATGCAACAAATGGTCTTACAGTGATCGTCAATTGTACATAGTTTTTCAGTGTCAACTTTTATAGTAAAATGTGTAAAATGCGCAAAGATTTAGTCTACACAGGCCACTTTGATCGTTAGAGTAAGGCTCCTCGAGTAAACATATTAAAGGGAATGACGTTATGGCGAACAGGAAGCGGAATTTGGGCGACCTATTGCAATGTATAGGCTACAAATTTTGGCGGTGGTTTCCGACAGGGAGCTTGGCGTACTGCTCTTCTTTCCGCTGTAAGCATACATTCCGAAATCAGCACCGTGTCCAAAATCAGAATCCGGTCGGCATCCCTGTTTAAATTTATCTGATAACTTTGCACACGCTTCTGCCTAGCCCTGTAGTACCATCTTAGATTTGTGGGCTTGTGTGCGGCCAGTGATCTGATTGGCATCCGACGCGAAGGGCCTGCAGAGACTACCGACAAGAGTTGACCGATCACAAAACTAACCGCAGACTAACCGTGGGGGGCTAGCTCTGGGCGACTGTAATATTACAATCGTGCGGAGGTAGCAAAGATGGTTCAGGCATGACGGCATTGTTTGGATGAAAAGTATTTTTGGAGTAAACGCTCTGGTCTAAAAAGTCAAGTCGACGGAAGGGAATGTTCACACACAGATGAGTGGGCATAATAATTTCACGTTTTAAAATATCAGAATATGCAAAATAACCAACGTTACAATAATGTAAAGAATCCGAGACAATTGTAAAGAAATGCAAGACGCCTACGATGACAATAAATTTCTTAAAAGAGAACGAAAATAGGTATTTTTGTGCAAAACATCAACGACGAAAATTGGCAAAGTGGAAGACGACCTAAGCCAATGAGAATACCCGCCAATCCGCTTACTGTATTATTATTATTATAAACATAAAAACGGTGGGAACAAACACGATGATTAACGTCCAACTGGAAGCATAGGGTTAACTTCGAAAACCGCCACTCAAGGGTAAAATGATGTTGTAAGGTGGGAATCTGCATAGATGTGAGAACCAGTCTAAGCAGTAAAGGGCTTAGAAGAAGTTCGGGTAAACGCCGGCGGCTGGTGGCTTAAAGGTTTTGTTAAAACATTTCATGCAAATGAGTTAACTTTAATATTAATTTCAGTTTACAAATAGTTTGGACTTCAGCCTGACCTTAAGTAACTTCTGCTTCCTTAAAAACAAAAACCAATCATTACAACCTCTTATCAGAACCCTGGTTTCAGCAGCAAGGAATGAATATGCTGGAATTGTCCTTTTCAATCCGTGCAGTTCAGTGAATTCAAAGGAATAGGGCTGATGAATTTGAACTCCTTATTTAACAAAAAAGAAAAGAAAAAGCAGCAATACACACAAGTTACTGTTTTAAACGGAAGCAGCTTTTATTTTATTTTATTTTTATTAATCTATTAATCTATCCTTCATAGAGTCCAGGATTCCTGACGCCTGGCGTACAGTAAGAATTACTCCAATCCCTAAAAAATCTTTAACTTTTGCTCCTAAATCTTTCCGTCCTATTGCCTGCTCTTCAGCACTCCTGAAACTTACTGAACGAGTTGCATTAGATTCCCTTAAG